TAGGTCGAGTGAGGTAAGTACACACTCGCCTAACAATGATGGACAGCTTCATATAACATGTGATTCATGATAATCAAGTAATCAAGTGGGTACTTAGCACGTAAGCAATACAAGTTGATTTTATGGGAGCATATAATTCACGGATATCAAATAGTCATGTAGATTGGAAATTATGTGAGCAAATAGTCAGGTAATTAGGTAGTCATGTGGGTTGGTAAACGGTTAACGGTTAACAGTTAACGATTGAGTAGTGACGGTTAATTGACAGGCATTTGTCATATGAATAGGCCATCATTGGCCGTTTCCCATTTTTACCATGTGAGAGTCGAGGAGATTCACTCCAACGACGTATGCATCCATAGCATACCAAGTCAAATTATTGGAGCACTTCCAAGCATGAGTTATTCATCTCAAAAGAGAACGAGTGCGATAAAGTGCACACTCGACTCCATTTTTCAAAAATTGAGTAGACTAAGCAAGCAATCTAGCAAGTTAAGCATGTATCGAGTTCATATGGTCATTTGATATGGTTAATCATTTAACCAATTCATGTAGATATGCAATGCAAGTATACATTTCTCAAATAGGCATGAGTATGGTAAATACTTAACACATAGCACTTAACACTTAATAATCATGAAATAAACATGTCCTAGACTTATTCAAATACGTATTCTATATGGAACACTCACCTAGTAAAAACAAGCGAGTGGTTCTCAACAAGCGTTTAGGCGTCCGCTCTAAGTTCCTCTTGAAAATTCCCTCGAGTGCCTGAGCAAACAATAATTAACTACCACTCAATATCGCTCTAATTATCGAGGAAGATTGTACACTAGTACAATCTAAGAAATTAACGCGGAGACGAGTCTAAGAGTTCGAGTAACTCGAGGTTCAAAAGTGGGGTTTTAAAATACAAGACAAATCTGATTTCTATCTCTGAAATCAAATGTAAAACAATCAAATGATATTGAAGGAAAAGGGAGAGTTCGAAACCCTTAGTTTCCTTTAAGTTAGAAAAATTCCAGATTTAACAAGCAGTCTTGAAAAATCATATCTCACTCTCTACAAGTCCAAAATTAGAAACCTTGATACTGTTGGAAACCCCTTTGTAAGTACTAAATGTTTTTAGAAGACACTTTTCCATGAATGTAAGTGAAAGACACTCAAATTTTGGCTTGAAATCGCTGTTCCAGAATGTTCAGGATTGAGCTAAGGTTGGTTTTTCGTTAACTTTGGAAATTTGGCAGAATTCACTCGATGCAAACTAGCCCTTGAATTTTATAACTCAATTAGAGGTGTAAGTAAGGTTTAGGGCAGAACAAGCAGATTGAGAATTGGAGTTTCGAGCACCGAGATACGGTAGCTCGAAGTTAGGAAAATTCAAGTCTGGTGAACAATTTCCAGATTTGAGTTTCCAAAATTGGAACCTTAGCTAAGTATCAAAAAACTTGGATTGGTATAAAATTTTGCAGTATGTTACTCCTTTATGAAAGGTACCGCTCTATCAAAACTCAGGGAAAAATACCTTCGGAAAGGTAGTTAATTAATCATCCAAAGTTCAGGAAAATTTCTAAGGCAATCTGCCTTTTGACTTTCATTTCCCAATTCAAATCGTTTAATCAAGAAAGCTATCCAACCATGGTTCATTTGTGAAATAAAGGTCTAAGATACATCCATGATACCTTTGGTAAGTGTTTAGCATCAAGAACTTCAATTAATAAGATCACTCCCAAGTTTTGTCCCAAACCAGTCCAAGTATTACGGTTTTTCCAAAACAGGGCAGTCCTCTTGTTTTAGTCACAACTCAGTCAATTTAACTCCGAATTGGGTATGGTTTATGTCGTTGAAAAATACATTCATAGGGCTATAATATCACAGAAGAAATCATTTCAAAATTTGGCACCCAACTAGTTCAAAATCGGGCATCAATTTGCTGCATTATCACTTCGTTCCAGTTTAACAGAGCGACAGGACAGCGATCTTAAAACGTTTGGTTCGGCTCACTCACAAAGAATCAGAATGTCCTTTTTATCTCAAATTAAACCCTGGAATGTCTAGTTTCAAACGCCACTGACGGCACGTGATTTCGACATCCGAGAACAGAGTTATGGCCGAAACACCACCGCTGGTCAGAGCCATACGTGAACAGTTTCCAGATTTGCTAGTTTCACAAAAAAAATTCATTTGCCCAACCAAACCTCAATATTTTCCAAAGAAATTTTTCACACATCTAATACGTCATATAAACATCAGATTCAAGCCATTAGATCATTTAAAATTGGTCTTAAAATGGCCGAACAAGGCAGGGGCAAAATCGGAAACTTTTGCTTCTTGCACCCAATGAAGTTTCTATCAATTACACACCATTAATCCATCATTTTAACCACTAAACCAACAATATATCCACCATCAATCAACAAATCAGCAACAACCCAAGAGTGGGAGTTCATAGAGCCCACTTTCACATTTTTCCAACAATATCAAGTCATCTACTTACATGCAAGTACTTAGAGATGCATATCTACTACTATAAATCAAGTTTCAGGTGACGGATCATGTTATACCTTCTTAATGTACTAGATCAGAATTTTTGGCCCCAAAATGCTCCAAGAAACCGTGATTTCCAGCACCCTTTTGCAGCTCAAAATGATCTCCTAGTGTTAAGCTAAGTATGGTGCAAGTTTGGTTGAATTTGGAGATGTTTTGGTAGTGGTTTGAGTGAGATTTGTGAGGTAGAATTTTAGAACAATGGAGTTAGAGAGGGAGGGAGAGCTGGTCAGCAGTCTTGGGGAGAAGAGAGAGAGTGTGATCAGATTTCTAAGCTTCCAAGAGAACACACTAACTTGTGGCCTCAAATCACCCATTAGTCAACTCACATTAGGGTGCGTTTGGCGCGATTAGGGCTCGATTTCTCGCGCGTTTGGTTCACTAGTGCACTAAACCTCTAATGCACTTATATTCATATAATATTATTCACTCTCAATTGTCCCAAAATAAGGGTCTAAAGTTCCTAAATTAAATCGCGCGCGTAAAAACGCGTACTTCCAATTTATGCGCGATAAGACGAAATTTCTAAGAAATTCTTATAACGACAATACTAATAACTATCACTTGAGAATTTAAACATTAAAATACCTAATTTAGGTCTATTATACAAATCTCCAATATTCCAAACTTATTGTACTCTCAATCGATCAAAATTTCCAAAGACGTGTTCACTATTTCCACTAAACGAGCTCCCGGAAATTAATTTTTGAAACAAGTCACTTTAAAAATATAATGAAACTATATTTCCATGTAATTAGGTCTCAAGAGTTTAGAAAATAATATTCGGAGTAAAATGCCAAATAAATAATTAAATAAGCTAGAAATAGGAGATTAAATAAGTAAATTTTGCGAGTCCTCACACTGGGTCATTACGTGGACTGAAATCCGTGCACACATCAGTCCTCTCCTCTTGAGAAGGAATTGCCCTCAAATCTGGATCCTCCTCAGCAAGAAACGGGTTCAAATCTGCGACATTGAAGGTCGCGCTAACATTGTATTCTCCAGGTAGCTCCAATTTGTAAGCATTGTCATTGACCTATTGGAGCACTTGAAAGGGTCCATCACCTTTTGGGGACAACTTGCTTTGACGTTGCTTGGGAAATCTCTCTTTTCGCAAGTGTAGCGAAACCCAATCTCCAGGCTCAAAATCCATCTTACGACGGTGCTTGTTGGCTTGCTGGATGTATTGTTGAGTACGCCTCTCGATGTTTGCTCGAACGGCTTCATGTAACCTACGCATGAAATCAGTTTTCTTTTTCCCATCTAAGTTTATGTGCTCAAAAGAAGGTAAGGGTACTAAATCAAGGGGGGTTAGCGGGTTAAAGCCATAAACAATCTCAAAAGGTGAGTAGTGTGTAGCACTATGAACAGTTCGATTGTAGGCAAATTCAACATGGGGCAAACACTCTTCCCAAGTTTTAAGATTCTTTTTAATCAAAGACCGAAGTAGAGTACCAAGTGTGTGATTGACAACTTCAGTTTGTCCATCGCTTTGTGGATGACTGGTGGTAGAGAATAACGATCTAGTGCCAAGTTTAGACCATAAAGTCTTCCAAAAGTAGCTTAAGAACTTTACATCTCTATCGCTAACAATGGTCTTAGGCATGCCATGCAGACAGACAATTTCTTTGAAAAACAAATTAGCAATGTGAGATGCATCATCAGTTTTGTGACAAGGGATAAAATGTGCGATCTTAGAAAATCTATCAACTACGACAAAGATGGAATCATTACCCCTTGGTGACTTAGGCAGCCCTAAGACAAAGTCCATAGACAAGTCTACCCAAGGATAGTGAGGAATAGGCAATGGGGTATACAGGCCGTATGGATTTGTTTTAGACTTTGCCTTATGACAAGTGACACATCTATCAACCATGCGTTCAACATCTCGACGCATATGCGGCCAGTAAAAGTGCTCTTGTAACATGCCTAGTGTCTTAACAATGCCAAAGTATCCCATGAGACCACCACTATGTGCCTTTCGAATCAAAATATCACGAATGTAAGAGTTAGGGACACACAATTTATCCACATAAAATACAAATCCATTGTGCAAGAAATACTTTCCATTTGGACTCTTTATACAAGATGCATAGACTTCCCCAAAGTCATGGTCATGGGCATATATCTCCTTGAGTATCTCAAACCCTAACAACTTGACATCAAGAACAGCAAGCAAAGAATGTCTACGAGATAAAGCATCAGCGACCACATTCGTTTTGCCAGTTTTGTACTTAATGACATAGGAGAAGGTGTCGATAAAACTTACCTATTTGGCATGGCGCTTGCTCAACTTGGGATGGCCCTTGAGAAATTTCAAGGATTCGTGATCAGTGTGTATCACGAACTCTCTTGGGCGGAGATAGTGTTGCCAAGTCTCCAATGCGCGTACAAGTGCGTAGAACTCTTTATCGTATGTGGGGTAGTTCAGGGCAACACCTCCTAGTTTCTCACTAAAAAAATGCACAAGGCATCTTGTCTTGCATGAGAACGGCACTAATGTCTACACCAGAGGCATCACATTCAATTTCAAAGGTCTTGTTAAAATTTGGTAATGCCAAAACAGGTGCATGTATGAATTTGTCTTTGAGGGTGAGAAATACTTGTTCTTGGACTTCTCCCCAATGGAATTTGTCGTTCTTTTTTGTCACGGCAGTCAATGGGGCAACAATGGTACTGAAGTCTTTGACAAATCGTCGGTAGAAGCCTGCTAATCCATGGAAGTTGTGCACCTCATGGACGGATGTTGGGGTTGGCCATTGCTTGATGGCCTCAATCTTGGATTCGTCTACTTTGATTCCCTGTGAACTCACTACATATCCTAAAAACACAAGTTCGTTAGTACAAAAGGTGCACTTCTTAAGGTTAGTGTATAAACGCGCCTGTCGAAGCATCTCAAGAACTAATCTCACATGCTCCATGTGCTCTTGTTCACTGCGACTATATATTAGAATATCATCAAAGTAGACAATCACAAATTTTCTAATGAAATGCCTCAAAACATGGTTCATTAATCGCATGAATGTACTAGGGGCGTTAGTCAACCCAAAAAGCATGACTAACCACTCATAGAGATCATGTTTGGTTTTGAATGCCATTTTCCATTCATCGCCTTCTTTCATCCTAATTTGATGATAGCCACTTCTTAGGTCAATTTTAGTGAATATAATAGCACCATCGAGTTCATCAAGCATATCATCTAATTTAGGAATGGGGTGACGGTATTTAACGGTAATAGCGTTAACAGCCCTATAGTCAGTGCACATGCACCAAGTACAATCCTTTTTGGGGACAAGTATCACTGTTACAGCACAAGGATTTAGACTCTCCTTTACCCAACCTTTGCCTAATAGGCTATCAATTTGCCGTTGAAGCTTCTTTGTCTCCTCAGGGCCCATGCGGTAAGCAGGTTTGTTGGGTAGTGGTGCTCCAGGAATCAGGTCAATTTGGTGCTCAATCCCTCGAATGGGTGGTAAGCCATCAGGGACCTCGTCAGGGCATCCTCAAATTCTTGCAAAAGAGCAACCATACTCGAAGGCAATGCCTTATCGAGCTCAGTAACATTTAAGAGCACATGTTTGCAAATCATGAAAAGTACAGGCTGATCAGAATTCACAACTTTTCTAACATCCTTAGCCTTAATGATCATGTTTTGCTTCCTAGTGGTAGGTGTAGTGGGCGATTTGTCATGCGTAACACTAGGTGTCCTCATTTGACCCTTGGTTGATTGCTCACTTGTAGAAGTGGAGCTTTTGCCAGGGTCGACCGCCTTTTGTTTCCTCCTTTGACGGTCCTGTTCACACTCTTTTTGCAACTTAAGTTGGTTCTCATACACTTGTGCAGGTGTGAGTGGTGTGATAAACTTACGCTTGCCATCGTGCAAAAGTGTGTACTTATTTGCCCTTCCATCGAATGTGACGTGTTTGTCAAATTGCCAGGGTCTCCCCAAGATGACATGTGTAGCATGCATTGGCACTATGTCACACACGACTTCATCAGTGTAAGCACCAATTGAGAAGAAAACGCGTACTTGTTTGAAGACACGTACCTCTTCATCCTCACTTAGCCATTGGAGGCGATAAGGGTATGGATATCTAGTAGTTGGGAGCCCTAAACTCTCAACAATGAGTAAGCTCGCCACATTCGTGCAACTCCCACCGTCGATGATAAGGCTACACACCTTGTCACCTACTTTGCAGCGAGTGTAAAATAAGTTCTCTCTTTGTAGTTGCTCGTCCTCCTTAACTCTGGCGGTTAGCACTCGTCGTGCCACCAAGCAACCTACTTTCCCTTGTGTAGGCAAGCAATCTTCCTCAGCTGAATCTTCTTCCAGGCAGTCGCCTTTGACCAAGTCGGGCATCTCCTCACAATCGTCATCATCGGACACGATCTCGCCATTGTGAGTGATTAACATGATCTGTTGGTTTGGACATTGAGACTGAATATGTCCAAACCCTTGACATTTAAAATACTTGACGTCCCTACTCCTAGTCTTAGGAGTCTCATGTGGTGCTTTAGAGGTAGATCTGGATGCATCAACAGCTTTGTTAGGGGTAAAATTGGTATTACGGGTAGACGCATTACCTTGAATTCGACTAGAAGGAGTGGGTGTAGTCGAATTTCCAGCTTCATGGGTTGTTCTCCGTGGTAGGTTTCCTTTCCAGGAAGGTGAGTTGGAAGTTTGGAAGGTACGGGCCCCACGCCTCAATTTCTTTCCCCTCTCGACCTTGATGGCTAGTTCAAGAAGGTCATGAATGTCCACATAATGTTGGAGCTCCAAGGCTTCCTGAAGGTCAGGATTGAGACCTTTAAGAAACCTGGCCATGGTCACTTCACCATTCTCTTGAATGTTTGCCCTCATCATGGCCATCTCGATCTCCTTGTCATAGTCCTTCACACTCATGTTGCCTTGAGTGAGGGTTTGCAGTTTCGAGTGGAGATCTCGATTGTAGTAGCTTGGAACGAATCTCTTACGCATCAATGCCTTGAGCTCTCGCCAAGTCCGGACTCGTGGTTCTCCCATTCTCCTCCTATGGGTTCTCACTTGGTCCGACCAGACTAAGGCGTAGTCGGTGAACTCAACGGTGGCAACTTTCACTTTTTGTTCCTCATTATAATCGTAGCAGTCGGAGACCATCTCGATGCGGCCTTCCCATTCCAAGTAAGCTTCAGGGTCACTTTTGCCTTTGAACGCGGGAACTTGAATTTTAAGTCCCCTGAGTTCATTCTTAGACGTGTCCCTTCTAGGTTTCTCGGATCTTTCCTCATCCTCACTAGCGGAGTAGCCCTCGCTATTTGCCTCTTTGGCGCCATGGTTACTCCGGTTGTGAGACCTTGAACGGGAGCCTCGTGTGAGACTCTTGGATAGCTCATCAAACTGTGTGTGCAACTCCTCCATTTGTTGCTCACTAATTCGCCTGAGCATGGGGCAACAATGGTACTGAAGTCTTTGACAAATCGTCGGTAGAAGCCTGCTAATCCATGGAAGTTGTGCACCTCATGGACGGATGTTGGGGTTGGCCATTGCTTGATGGCCTCAATCTTGGATTCGTCTACTTTGATTCCCTGTGAACTCACTACATATCCTAAAAACACAAGTTCGTTAGTACAAAAGGTGCACTTCTTAAGGTTAGTGTATAAACGCGCCTGTCGAAGCATCTCAAGAACTAATCTCACATGCTCCATGTGCTCTTGTTCACTGCGACTATATATTAGAATATCATCAAAGTAGACAATCACAAATTTTCTAATGAAATGCCTCAAAACATGGTTCATTAATCGCATGAATGTACTAGGGGCGTTAGTCAACCCAAAAAGCATGACTAACCACTCATAGAGATCATGTTTGGTTTTGAATGCCATTTTCCATTCATCGCCTTCTTTCATCCTAATTTGATGATAGCCACTTCTTAGGTCAATTTTAGTGAATATAATAGCACCATCGAGTTCATCAAGCATATCATCTAATTTAGGAATGGGGTGACGGTATTTAACGGTAATAGCGTTAACAGCCCTATAGTCAGTGCACATGCACCAAGTACAATCCTTTTTGGGGACAAGTATCACTGTTACAGCACAAGGATTTAGACTCTCCTTTACCCAACCTTTGCCTAATAGGCTATCAATTTGCCGTTGAAGCTTCTTTGTCTCCTCAGGGCCCATGCGGTAAGCAGGTTTGTTGGGTAGTGGTGCTCCAGGAATCAGGTCAATTTGGTGCTCAATCCCTCGAATGGGTGGTAAGCCATCAGGGACCTCGTCAGGGCATCCTCAAATTCTTGCAAAAGAGCAACCATACTCGAAGGCAATGCCTTATCGAGCTCAGTAACATTTAAGAGCACATGTTTGCAAATCATGAAAAGTACAGGCTGATCAGAATTCACAACTTTTCTAACATCCTTAGCCTTAATGATCATGTTTTGCTTCCTAGTGGTAGGTGTAGTGGGCGATTTGTCATGCGTAACACTAGGTGTCCTCATTTGACCCTTGGTTGATTGCTCACTTGTAGAAGTGGAGCTTTTGCCAGGGTCGACCGCCTTTTGTTTCCTCCTTTGACGGTCCTGTTCACACTCTTTTTGCAACTTAAGTTGGTTCTCATACACTTGTGCAGGTGTGAGTGGTGTGATAAACTTACGCTTGCCATCGTGCAAAAGTGTGTACTTATTTGCCCTTCCATCGAATGTGACGTGTTTGTCAAATTGCCAGGGTCTCCCCAAGATGACATGTGTAGCATGCATTGGCACTATGTCACACACGACTTCATCAGTGTAAGCACCAATTGAGAAGAAAACGCGTACTTGTTTGAAGACACGTACCTCTTCATCCTCACTTAGCCATTGGAGGCGATAAGGGTATGGATATCTAGTAGTTGGGAGCCCTAAACTCTCAACAATGAGTAAGCTCGCCACATTCGTGCAACTCCCACCGTCGATGATAAGGCTACACACCTTGTCACCTACTTTGCAGCGAGTGTAAAATAAGTTCTCTCTTTGTAGTTGCTCGTCCTCCTTAACTCTGGCGGTTAGCACTCGTCGTGCCACCAAGCAACCTACTTTCCCTTGTGTAGGCAAGCAATCTTCCTCAGCTGAATCTTCTTCCAGGCAGTCGCCTTTGACCAAGTCGGGCATCTCCTCACAATCGTCATCATCGGACACGATCTCGCCATTGTGAGTGATTAACATGATCTGTTGGTTTGGACATTGAGACTGAATATGTCCAAACCCTTGACATTTAAAATACTTGACGTCCCTACTCCTAGTCTTAGGAGTCTCATGTGGTGCTTTAGAGGTAGATCTGGATGCATCAACAGCTTTGTTAGGGGTAAAATTGGTATTACGGGTAGACGCATTACCTTGAATTCGACTAGAAGGAGTGGGTGTAGTCGAATTTCCAGCTTCATGGGTTGTTCTCCGTGGTAGGTTTCCTTTCCAGGAAGGTGAGTTGGAAGTTTGGAAGGTACGGGCCCCACGCCTCAATTTCTTTCCCCTCTCGACCTTGATGGCTAGTTCAAGAAGGTCATGAATGTCCACATAATGTTGGAGCTCCAAGGCTTCCTGAAGGTCAGGATTGAGACCTTTAAGAAACCTGGCCATGGTCACTTCACCATTCTCTTGAATGTTTGCCCTCATCATGGCCATCTCGATCTCCTTGTCATAGTCCTTCACACTCATGTTGCCTTGAGTGAGGGTTTGCAGTTTCGAGTGGAGATCTCGATTGTAGTAGCTTGGAACGAATCTCTTACGCATCAATGCCTTGAGCTCTCGCCAAGTCCGGACTCGTGGTTCTCCCATTCTCCTCCTATGGGTTCTCACTTGGTCCGACCAGACTAAGGCGTAGTCGGTGAACTCAACGGTGGCAACTTTCACTTTTTGTTCCTCATTATAATCGTAGCAGTCGGAGACCATCTCGATGCGGCCTTCCCATTCCAAGTAAGCTTCAGGGTCACTTTTGCCTTTGAACGCGGGAACTTGAATTTTAAGTCCCCTGAGTTCATTCTTAGACGTGTCCCTTCTAGGTTTCTCGGATCTTTCCTCATCCTCACTAGCGGAGTAGCCCTCGCTATTTGCCTCTTTGGCGCCATGGTTACTCCGGTTGTGAGACCTTGAACGGGAGCCTCGTGTGAGACTCTTGGATAGCTCATCAAACTGTGTGTGCAACTCCTCCATTTGTTGCTCACTAATTCGCCTGAGCTCGTTCTTCATGGCGGTGAACATCAAGGAGTAGTCTGTGGTTGATTGTTGTTGCTCCATGTCTCTCTTTATGCCCTGCAAAAGGTTAGTAACAAGAAAATAATGCAGGTATATCCTCACTTCACTCCCTTAGTGTATTACTCGCTCTCGTGTTTTATCACTCAAAACACTCTTTAAAGATCTTACCCAATGCCTTTACCTGTCGGTTTAGGTAGGTGAGAAATGCTGCTCAAGTCCAGTAATCGTCACCAACTTTTTTTCACAAGAGTATTCAAGAGTGTAAGACACAAACGTGGGTGAAAAATGAGGTGGAATGGCTGATTTTGGAAGGGAGGTAGCGGCGGACAACAAGGAAGACGCCAATGTGAACACAAGGACAAAAAACCCTAGTTTTCTAAAAGGTAGGAGTAGATTCCTAGAATGTAGGAGTGGTTTCCTAAAACGTAAGAGAGAAAGTAGAGGAGTAGCCAAGTGGAAAATAGAGGAGTTATTCAAGTGTTTTACTTAGTTTCCTAAAGTGATTTTGGAACAACAAGTTAAGTTTGGAAACTCTTTTAGAAACCCTTTCTTGAATAACTTTAGAAGCCCCCAAATTCCTCTACAAGTGGGCTAGCAAATCAAATTTGGTTTCTAATTCCTTCCAACCGAAATTTACGATTTGGTTTTCCCCTTTCAATCTTCTTTCAAGTCGGCTAAAACACCTATAAGATTCCCTCCACTCAACCCAAGCTCATACACACACAAAACCAGATTCGGCTACCCTTCACCCTTGCGCAAAAACCAAGACAGTTTGACTATGGCTTCACAGCAAGAAGATGCAAGCGACCTCACGCAAGCTACACCCCCATGGGTTGCTCAAGATTCCTCCAAGAAGTTTACTCCTAGGCCAAGGAAGCCCTTCACCACCGCAAGAGAGTATAGGAAGTTGTTTATTCGAAGGGAGGTTCAAGTTTTCAAGAAACAAGGTCAAGAAATTCAAAAACCTCGAAGGGTGGTTCAAGTTATCAAGGCACAAGATGATCAAGAATCGTAAGAAGAGGTAGGACAAAACTTTTGAGTTTCTTCCCCTTTGCAATTTTCTGGTTTGGTTTAGAAACAAGATGTAGTGGTAGTTGTCTTGGCAATAAAGAACCGAGTTGTTCCTTTTTTTCTTGTTCGGCCCTCTTGTCCTAGCCGAATGGTTTTCTTTCTTTTCTTTTTCATTTCTGTTTTCTTTTTCTTTTTAGACTCAAAGAACAACAAGGATACTTGGCTGAAGTAGTAAAAATTCCAGAAATAATGTCAGCCCCTCAACTCGCAATAACGCACAACCCTAATCCCTCAAGAACTAGCAAGATACTTTGAAGAATTTCAAGAACTTCTAGGTAGTAACCAATAACTTTAAGAAACCCTATATCTTGTAGATTCTCTTCAAGATTTCACAACACCAACAAGTTTTAACCCAAAATCAGATTACAAAATTAAGAAAACAGTTTGGATGACTCATGAAGCGAGTTGGATAGATTTGAAAAAAATAAACCCTAGCCGTCAAAGCTAAACCCTAGTCGTCGCCTACTTGCCTTCTTGTAGCTTCGGCTTGGACTATCTACTTGGATAGAATTTGGATGCAACAAGGACACAAGATATGGTCAGGTTATCAACGGCAACAACGACACATTCATGGACAGATTTGACTCAAAACAATGAACTCTAGCGAAGAAGGAAACCCTAGCCGCACAAAGGTGGGTTTTCGTACTGCCCAAGCGTCGACCAACTTAACCAAAACAGTTTTGGGGTTCCAACCAGAAATTTGTACGTTCCAAGGGCGCACAAACCACCGCCAGCTTGACACAAACAACACACAAGATTATGGACAGATTTGTAAGCAACGATGTGATGCGATGCCAAAAAGATGACTAACGGATCGAATGTACTAGACAACGTGACACAACAACCATGGACAGATTGAGCA